ATTTCAAAAGAAAAACAAATTTTAGGTTCTCGTTATAAAAGAAGGGATAGTGCGAGTGTCTTAGACCTTCATGAACGTTTTCTTCACCTAATGATTTCTTGGTGGTTTCGACCATCTGGAGGTCGTTATTCTACTATTAGAGCCTTGGATCTTTGGTGGTTACATTGTTTCGAAAACAGTATTAAAATAAACCTACCTCATATTATTTTTGCTGAAATTGTTGAAACCGTAAATCTTGTTCCTAACAAGAAACTTTGTTTGTCTCTAGTTTACGGTTACATTTTGAGTAATCTATTTTCTAAAGTCGGGCTTAGAGTTGGTCTAGATGTCTTCTTTCCTCTAAAGAAACAAATTAATCTTCTTTCCTTAACGAGAGCGGGATGGATAAAGGATAAGGAAACCAGTGAATGGGTTCGATCTTCTGAAAATACTTCGTGAGCTAGTTCTTCACGAGCTCCACCAGAAGGTGATGATGATCCCGAGCTTCAACAATTAATGCGAGGCATCGATGAAGCCGAAGATGAGCCTGAGCAGTCCGAGGAGCAAGCACAACAAACGCATCAAATGCCTCCATATTTTCAATCTTTTATGGAGACATTCGATTTCCGATATGCTACCATGGATTCACGCTTTACTTCTATAGAGTCCCATTTATCCACAATGGGAGCTCAACAATTAGAAATCCTCTGAGAGATGCGCACAAACAACACTTCGATGAATGAACGTATTGATGCACTCTCACATGAGATGGCCGCTATGCGAGCTCGTTTTCCTCCTCCCGATCCGGATGTTTGATTCTGTGTTTAGCTTTAGAACTTTGAACTAAAAGATTATTGTTTCAACATTTTGAATATTTTGGAATGTTTGATTTTGAGGATTGTTAGACTTTGGATTTGTTTGGATGTTTGAATTTATATATTTGGTTTAGTTAAATTTATTGCATCATTTACATCATGTTAGATATATGACCAATTTTGACATATCACATTGTTTATGAATATTGATTATGAAACTAATGGCTAACGTTTCTCTTGATTGTGATCTTAGCAGCTTAAACTATAATCAAATTGGCTAAATGATTTCAAAAACCTTGTTTAAAATCTTTTACGAGTCTTTTTGATTTAACAAAAAGGGGGAGAAGTGTTAAATGTTTTAAATAGGAGAAGTGTTAAAGTAAGGGGGAGTAATTTTTTCAAAAACGTCGTTTTTGATTTCAAAATCTTAAAATTACTAAAATGTTTTGTTATATCAAAAAGGGGGAGATTATTGAAATCATTTTGATATTTCGATATAACAAATTAAGTTAAATGAATTTTAAGATTTTCCAAAAAGATTTTCTAAGGATATTCGATATAATTATTCGAATATCAAAATATTACTCCAAATCTTTCAAATGTCATTTTTAATCCTTACTCAAGTGTAAAATTAATTTTCAATCTTAAAATAATTTCAAAACGATTTTAAAATATATTTCGAACCATTTCAAAGCCAAAAATTCCAGATTGCTCAGAGGGAACCGATTCCCCCCCAAGGGGATACCGATTCCCCCCTGAATGGTTTGGCTCCGAGAATTCTAGTATGCTCGGAGGGAACCGATTCCCCCCACTATTCAACGGTCGAAATATTTGAATTTTACACTTAGGGAACCGATTTCCCCTATGGGGTATCGATTCCCCCCACGCTCCAAGCTGTTTTATTAATTGATTTCACACTAAAACGGCTATATTATCTTCATTAATGATCCCCAACGTTCAGAAGTGATTCAAGGTGTATTTAAGCAAGCTTAGAAGCCATTGATCAAAAACAAGAAACATCAAGCAACTAGAATCAAAGAGAAAGCATCAAATCTCAAGTTTGAGCATTTCAAGCCTATTTTTCATTCAATATTCATTTTTCTTTCAAGAACACTTATTGTGCTCAATTGTATTCATTCTTGAGTGTTCTTTTCTTTTTTCTAGAATTGTGCAAACAATCTACCTTGTGAGGATTTCCTTGTAAGTTTGCAAATTTGTATTGTTCTCTTTGGGAGAGAGTGTTCTCAAGAATTTGAGGTATAATTCTTGAGGGTTTGTAAGTTTACTCTTTGTCCTCAAAAGAAAGACAAATTAGTGAATTTATGAAAAATCCTTAGTGTGGATAGCTAAGGTAGTGGACGTAGACTTTGGTTGAGAAAGTCGAACCACTCTAAATTGTTGTGCAATATCTTTCAATTTTCTGCAAAAGTTTCCACCAAAATTTTTATTGCCAATTCACCCCCCTCTTGGCCGATTCCGTCAATCGATTAACTAACACAAAGACATTTAACTTTTCATCTAACTTGCATGATTGATACTTTCCTGCCAAATGCACAGTTAGGTCATTTATCTTTTACTAAACGGTCATTAACCGTTCATCTAACTGGCATAATTGACACCTTTCTTCCAAATGCACAGCTAGGCCATTTATCTTTTACTCAACAGTCTTTAACTGTTCATCTAACTGGCATAATCGACACCATTTCTGCCAAATGCACAGCTAGGCCATTTATCTTTTACTCAAAGGTCTTTAACTGTTCATCTAACTGACATAATTGACACATTTCTGCCATATGCACAACTAGGTCATTTATCTTTTACTCAATGGTCTTTAACCGCTCATCTAACTGGCATAATTGACACCTTTCTACCAAATGCACAGCTAGACCATTTATCTTTTACTCAACGGTCTTTAACTGTTCATCTAACTTGTATAAATTGACACATTTCTGTCAAATGCACAGTTAGGCCATTTATATTTTGCTCAACGGTCTTTAACTGTTCATCTAACTAGCATAAATTGACACCTTTCTGCCAAATGCACAGCTAGGCCATTTATCTTTTACTCAATGATCTTTAACTGTTCATCTAACTGGAATAAATGATACATTTATGCCAAATACACAGCTAGGCCATTTATCTTTTACTCATAAGCCTTTAACCGTTCATCTAACTAGCATAAATTGACACCTTTCTGCCAAATACACAACTAGGCCATTTATGTTTTACTCAACGACCTTTAACCGTTCATCTAACTGGCATAATTGACACCTTTCTGCCAAATACAAAGCTAGACCAATTATCTTTTACTCAACGGTCTTTAACCATTCATCTAATTGGCATAAATTAACACCTTTATACCAAATGCACAACTAGGCCATTTATGTTTTACTCAACGGTCTTTAACATTTCATCTAACTGGTATAATTGACACCTTTCTGCCAAATGCACAGCTAGGCCATTTATCTTGTACTCAACGGTCTTTAACCGTTCATATACTTGGCATAATTGACACATTTCTGCCAAATGTACAGCTAGGACATTTATCTTTTACTCAACGGTCTTTAACCGTTCATTTGATTGGCATAATTGACACCTTTATGCCAAATGCACAGTTAGGCCTCAAAGGCACTTAGCCTTTCATCTAACTGGCATAATTGACACCTTTCTGTCAAATGCACAATTAGGCCTTAAAGGCACTTAGCCTTTCATCCAACTGACATAATTGACACATTTTTGTCAAATGCACAGTTAGGCCTTAAAGGCACTTAACCTTTCATCTAACTGGCATAATTGACACCTTTATGTCAAATGCACAGTTAGGCCTATTAATCTTTTATTTTAGACCAGTTTCTACTATAACAATTATTCCTAATATCAATTAACTCTTTTGATCATTATACATTATATGGTTTATACCTACAGTGCCCATGTAATAATTCCAAAATCTTACTATAATTTACGTGAATTACTCACCCATTAACAATACAGTAATTCACCTCCTTATTATGAACTTCTGGTAATTTCACATATATTTCCCATACGGAAATTCATACACTTAGTACGGATTTCTTAGTTTGCACACATAGTGCCCATAGGGAAGTTCATACACTTAGTATGAATTTCTTAGTTTTGCACTCAAAGTGTCCATACAGAAATTCATACACTTAGTATGGATTTCTTAAGTTTTTGCACACTTAGTGCCATTTGGTAATCACCACACTTCCATTAATAAATCACACAACTATGACTACCATAACATATACATACATAATTAAATGCACTCACCTGGATTGTCTCGTTATTATACCAAAAATACAAAGTTGATCACTCTGGTACTTTGCCTTTGTCTTTAGTTTTGGTTGACTCAGGAGCTTGATTTCGTTCTACTCAAGCATCCCATAAAGACACGTACAATATCAATTGTTAGTATATCTCCTAACAATTATACTCAAACGTTATTCAAGAGTACATATTATTAACTTTCTATAACAATATCAACCTATTTTTAACATTTCTGGCTCTCTAGTATCGATACCCCCACCATGATATCGATAATACTATACTATGGTATCAATACTCTATTACGGTACCGATACCATTTTTGCATTCTGTGATCAATGGTATCGATACCATCCTCATGGTATCGATACTACTCAACAGATTCTATTGATTTCAAGCATATAGTATTGGTATTGTTCTATCAGTACCTATACTCGTGCCCAAAATTTCCAGTTTTTAGCCCGATTATCACCCAAATGGGGTCAAATTTCGGTATGTCTACACTATACAATACAATTAAGCTCTTATTTACCTATCCATGCTAACTTTCTTTCATTTATTTTCTTAAAACATCTAAAATCTTCCAAGATCATTTAATTCTAAGAATCAGTCAACTTTTTCTAGTATGTTATTAATCTTATCCAATACTTCTAATCTTTCATTTACCTCTTTGACAAGTCAATTCTACCAATAAACATCAACAAACATTCATATATCAACATATCATTTAAAAACCCATTTTCTTAAATCTATAATATTTCCTCCATTTCATAGTTTTAATCTCATATAACATTTCCTTAAGCTTACATAACACTTAATTTTGCAAGAACCAACCGTAATCAACCGAAACCATGAGCTAGATGAAGCTTACCTTAAGCTATGGAGGGACACTCTCACCCACAGAAAGAAGAAGAAGAAGAAGAGAAATAAGTTTTTCACTTTCCTCTTTTTCTTAAATCCCTAATTTAAATGGGTTTTAAATTCATTTCACCTAAAAGACCCAAAACGCCCTTTCAATAAACTATCTCTTACAAATTGGTCTTACTTAAGTCATTTCTTATACTTTACCAATTACTCAATTTAGTCCTCCAAATTTTTATTTCTTTTTAATTTAGTCCCTGACTTAATATTTGGGGTATTAAAAATATAATATTGAACTTCTTGAATTTTTTTGAAGATGAAAAGAATTTAATCCCTCCCTCTTTAAGTTTTTTCCTTTTGTATTTCTTTTTTTTTTCAATTTTTGTATTAACCCAGGAGAGGGAAAACTACTAACTTGCTGAATATTCATAGCTCTAATATCAAATGATATAAATTCGATTATGATTTTTTTAATCATTTGTGTTGTTCGATCGTGATTCTAGTAAGCGATTGAACTTATAACTTGAATTTCTGAAAATGAAACTTTAAAGAAATGATAATTAGATATAAGAGTGAAAGTTCATGCTTAATATGAATAATTTAAAGTGATGGAAATGATAAGGATGGATGTTATGAAGGTAAAGGCAGTGAAGGTTGGAGTTTGTTAAATGATGGATTTGTAGTTTATAGAAAATGGAAATGAAGTAGATAATGGTGATATTGGCGTGGATTTTGTAGGAATGAAAGGAATAAGGATTGTGACCCACTAGTTATATGGAGTTAGGAACCAAAAATATAAAATGATGGATTGAAATGGTAGGGGATTGAATATGACCCTCTAGCTATAAGAGAGTTAGGAATAAACTTTATAAACTAGTGAAATGGATAAAGACCATAAGAACAAACTTGAAGTTGATAAAGTTCTTCAAAATAAATAGAAAGAAATTAACTCTCAAAGAGAAATTTCATATATCAAGATGTTTGCTTACAATGCAAGGATGAAGCCTATTTATAGTGCTCTTAGGAAAAATGTGTAAGGTTCACACAAAATAGATAAATGTTTCATCTTAATGGTAATGAATGCTCGTTAATGTTTTGTTTCTTCTTTCTCCTTAAGTAGCCGAATATTCTAGAGAGTATTGGATGAACTTGGACACTTTTGAGGTTGAATTTAGACTTAATTTCATCCAAAAAGGAGGGATACTCTTGAACTTGCTTGGCTTTCTCACTTATGAAATAATGAAGGATGAATATGGACACCTTGATCTATGTAGAAATTGTATGCGTCTAAGGGAGAGTGTTTCATGGAATTCCATGCTCATATTCATACCATTTATTCTGCTTGAATGCCTTAATGATGAGAATAAAGTAGGCCTGCAATGTATGTCTCCTTGTTGAATTTGAATGGTCTCTATAAAATGATGATAAAGAAAGTCTTCATTGCATGTTTCCCTTGTAGAATTTGAATATCCTCCAAAAATGATGATAAAGAAGGACTTAATTTCTCTTAATGCAGCCCATAAAATGTATGTTGGACGTCCATGAGCTTGTAAGAATGATTTTGGAGAGTCCTTGGATTGTTCAAGCCTTCCTTTCATGTAATTCACGTAATAAAATGTAGCCTGCATTGTCTTCGATAAAATGATCATATCCCAAGCTCCCTATATCGGATTGAGGTAAAAAGCTAAGAGATAGAGGAATAATATCAAATTGATTTCTATACCCAAACAAGTATGTAGTATATCCATAAATATAAGACAATCTGATAGATATTCTTGCATTTGATGTGACTGTTTATCTTTATTCATGCACCTAGACACAATAGTAGCAAATGTTCACTATTGAATAAAATTAAAAAAGTAAACATGTCATTCATGCTTTAAAGGAGTTAGTTTAATTAATGAACCAATTTAAATGAATGAACTAGTTTAATTAATGGACTAGCTTTATTGAATGTTCCAACATACTTAAATGAAGTAACTTGCTTAAATGAACTGCATGCTTTAATAAACTAATTATGCTAAATTAATTACATGCTTTTAATGATGTAGCATGCTTATTTATTCATGCAAACTTATGATATGCAAACTATTAATACTCATGCAAATTCATGAAAAATAAAATCATGCAAATGAATGATAACATATGATAATCAAACATCTCTTATTATGCAAAAATATGTTTTTGGCAATATATAATGCATAAAGAAGATAATAAAAGATAAAGTAAGGTAGAACTCCCTTAGAATGAGCCTTAATAATTTTCAATGATTTAATTAAGTCTTAGAGAAAGTTGGTGTTGATTAGGATCACATCAGTAGTACCCAATCTTGAACTTAAAAAAAATCATCCACTAGGTAGTATTTTACCCAAAGCACACGACCAACTAATGATGTCGGGATTATATGAATAGAATAGTTATGATTGTGTAGTGAGAATATACTTTGTAGATGAACTAGTATAATAGAATTATACATGGAAATGATAATTTAGATAAATTAAAGGAGATAAATAAATAGTACATCAAATAGGGAATATATATATAGAAATATATTGTATAGAAAATTCCATATGCTTCAATGAAATGATGATTTAAAACTGATTCAATTCTTAAGTGATATAAAAAATAGTACAGAGATCTAGGAAATGAAATCACATGAGAACATTATAGCAATTAAAATTGTAATAGGTTATGATAATATGTTTATGTGGCAAATTGTGTGAAAAAAATGAACTAATAGAATATAAAGAATTAGTACACAAAGATATGATATAGAATATGTAGAAAGAGTCTATGAGTTATATGATAAATAGAAGTAAATGGAAATAAGAAATAAGATAGATGACTATAGTATAGATATTATATAACTAAGAATTATGAAAAAAGGAATGAGTTAAATGATAACAAGTGAATGTGTTATAAGTTGAGTAAGGTAAAATAAATGATTATATGAACATGAAACAGTACACAATACTATATAATACGATGATATAATTGTATGTACATATTTGTTACACGAATATGTATATGAGGTTTTATGATTTGATTGTATGAAGTATGCATTAATTGTTAAGAGTTTAAAATTCTTTGTATTTGGTTACTGGAAATAGTTAGCATGTAATTAATGATTTGAATTATATACGCTCTGATTAGTTTTGAAGATACTTTTATTTTAATGGTATGAATTATGAACTTATATTGAATAAAAGTGGAATTTTTCATATTGGTATACAAATATAAGTTTTGAAAAGTCAATGTGACACCTCGGACTCAGATCTGAGTCGGGTACAACTTGGGGGTGTTACATTAATGGTATCAGAGCTAAGGTTTAGCTGATTTCTTGGCTTAAACCTAAGTCAAATGAAGTTTAAAAATTTGTACATGCCAACTCAAAGTGAAAAAATTCTGATCTGATAGTGTAAGGAGTATAATGTCTTGTTAATAGAATAAAATTGTATGATAGTAGAAATTGATTATAGAAATTGTCGAAGTGAATCAATGGTTGACACATCTGATGGTGATGCAATTCACCTGCCCTAGCCAAGCAGGATGAAGAGCGAAAACCTCAGAAAGTGTCCTATAAGATTAAAGCTTGATTTCAGAAAGTTGAAATCATATCTGAATAAAGATAGAAAGTTTTTCACTGTTTTGAAGCGGAAAAGTGATATGGAGTAGTTTTATTATTTCGTGGATAAGATAGAATATGGTGAACAAGTATCACCATAAGAGTGTTAAAAGATTAATTGATGCAGTGAGAATATGTGGAAGAGTTCAAGAATAAGTGTATCAGTGACAAGCGTATTGTAACATCCCGAAATTCGAGTCAGTGACTAAAATGAGAATTTTTGAAATTTGGTGATAAAAGTAAAATAGTTTAATAGTTTAATGACTTATTGGAAATATAGTTGAAGGTTGTTTGGTAATTATTGAATGAATTAAAGGGCAAATTGGTCATTTGATAAGAAAGACATTTTCCCTTTTATAAGAATGAATCACGTGGTGGGGAAAGAAAGAGTTACTGGGAAACTCTCTTCTTCTTCTTCCTCCCGTATCTCCAAGCTCAAAGGTAAGTTTGTGATTTATTGATTATTTGTTGATTTAAAGGTTGGGTTATGATCACTAGATGATAATTAAGCTTAAGGAAAGTTTAATTTGTTCTTAAACAACAAGATGAAAGATATATGAGAGATTAAAGATTTTGAGTTCTTGAATGAAATCTTGGAATAGAGTTCATTACTCATATTGGAAGACAAATTTGACTTGTCATCCACTTAATTAAGGGATATGAAGTGATGGAATTGAATTTAGAACAAGTAGAAAATTTAGTATGATTCTTGGATTTCATATGGAAGATAGAATTTTGAGTTTAAAGAAGTGATTATGGAGTAGAAGTGAGTTTAAGTATGTATATGAAAGTTAGGAATATTAAAGGAGGTGAAAGATGAAGAATTAAGCTGAAAGAGAGTGAATTCGTGTTTAAAATGTAAATTCTTGGTTTTGTGCATCGATGCATCTTCAATGTGCATCGATGCACTCTCAAATGAATAAACATCGAATGCAATCAGTGCATTGATGCATAAGGAGTGCATCGATGCACCTGCTTAAAATACAAACATCGAATAGGATTTATGCACCGATGCATGGATAGTGCATCGATGCACCTGTCAAGGGATGCATCGATGCATGGTGTAGTGCATCGATGCATGGTGTAGTGCATCGATGCATGCCTTCATTAAAAGATAAAAATATCTTTCTTATTAGCCTAAGGAATGATAGTTTAGAATATATCAATTAGTATACTGATATGTATCAATGTATTAATATGTAGATTTAGAACGTGATCTCGTTCCGGAACAATTGAAGGATTAGAATCGAGTCAAGAAAGGCTAAGGTGAGTACATATTAGAAGTATGGTACAATGGAATAAGACTTGTGATAAGTCTAATTCCTATGTTGATTTTCATAGCACAATAGTTATGAACATGCATACATGATAATTATTATGATACATACATAAAGTATATATGTTCATATGATTTGATAAATGATATATGTGAAAAGACCCAAATGCACATGTGATATGATAAGTGATATGAGCTATGTGATTACAAGAGAAATGACATGAACACATGAACACATAAAAATATAAGAATAATGCCCATGGTATACGATATGAGAGCTATAGGTATAGTTGGCATCCCAAGAGTCGAGGGTTCTACGTGGTCCTTCGAGACATATGTGTATCCTTTGAAACATTTACAGTGTCTTTTGAGACAGATCTAATCCACTGGAATATGTATATGGTTCTTAAGAAGTGTTCCTTCGGGACAAATACAGTACATAGGTCCTTCGGGACAAATTTCATAGCCCCTAATGGGACCCATACGAGCTGTGGTGACAGCATAATGTACAACCTCAATGTACTCGAATACCTTGAGTTCTCAAAAATGTACATGGGCCTATAAAAGGTTATCAAAGGTAATTATATTGTTATAGTTATATGTTATCATATTATTATTGTTTACATTGAATTGTATACGACAGGATTGAATGGATAGATTGCATGTTCATATTCATACTGAATGCATTATTGTTATATTTATATGTCTCACTAAGTCTATGACTTAGCGTGTAAGTGATTTACACGTAGGTACTAAGAATCAGGAAGAGTGGAAATAGGGTTGTAAGAATAGCAACACTGATAGAAGATCAGATCA